TTGTCTGGAAAAGACTATCTCTTCTTCATTTATGAAGCTTAGTTTTGCTGGATACAGAATTCTTGACTGATCATTGTTTTGCTTAAGGAGGTTAAAAATAGCACTCCAGTCCCTTCTAGCTTGTAGGGTTTTTTCTGAGAAATTGGCTTTAATCTGATAGGTTTTCCTTTAGAGGTTACCTGATGCTTTTGCTTCATACCTCTTAAGATTCTTTCCTTTTTCTTGACTTTAGATAACTTGATGACTGTGTGCCTCAGTGATTATCTTTTTGTGGTGAATTTCACAGGTGTTCTTTGAGCTTCTTGTATTTGTATGTCTAGATCTCTAGCATGGCCGGGGAAGTTTTCCTTGATTATTCCCTCAAGTCTGTTTTCCAAACTTTTAGATTTCTCTTCTTCCTCAGGAACACATTTAATATAGTCCCAGACTTCTTGGAGGTATTGTTTATTTTTTAAATTTATTTATTTGTCTTTGATGGATTGGGCTAATTAGAAAGCCTTGTCTTTGAGCTCTGTGTTTTTATTTTTTTCTACTTGTTTGATTTTATTGCTGAGACTTTCCAGTGCATTTTGCATTTCTCTAAGTGTGTCCTTGATTTCCAGAAGTTGTGATTTATGCTATCTATTTCACTGAAGAATTTTCCTTTTATATCCTGTGTTATGTTTTTTATTTCTTTAAACTGAACTTCACCTTTCTCTGGTCTTTGATTAGCTTAATAACTGATCTTCTACATGGATGAAGCTGGAAGCCATTATCCTCAGCAAACTAACACAGGAACAGAAAACCAAACACTGTATGTTCTCATTTATAAGTGGAAGCTGAACAATGAGAACACATGGACACAGAGAGGGAAACAACACACATTGGGGCTTGTCCGGGGGGTAGGGAGTGGGAGAGCATCAGGATAAATAGCTAATGCATGAAGGGCTTAATACCTAGGTGAAGGGTTGATAGGTACAGCGAACCACCATGGCACACATTTACCTATGTAACAAACCTGCATGTCCTGCACATGTATCCTGGAACTTAAAATAAAATAAAAATTTTTAAAAATCGACCTTCTGAATTATCTTTCTGGCAATTCAGAGAATTCGTCTTGACTTGGATCCATTGCTGATGAGCTGGTGTGAGCTTTTTAGGGTGTTAAAGAATCTTGTTTTGTCATATTACCAGATTTTTTTTTTTAGTTCCTTCTCATTTAGGTAGACTATGTCAGAGGTAAGACCTAGAATTCAAAGGTTGCTGTTCAGATTCTGTGGAGTGCTCCCTTGATGTGGTGTTCTCCCTCTTACCCTAGGAATGAGGCTTCCTGAGAGCCAAACTGTAGTGATTGTTTTTGCTCTTCTGGGTCTAGCCACTCAGTGGAGCTACTGGGCTCCAGGCTGGTATTGGGAAGTGTCTGCAAAGAGTCCCGTGATGTGATCCATCTTCAGGTCTTGCAGCCATGGTCCAGTGGAGGTAGGAGGGGAGTAAAGTGGACTCTGTGAGGGTCCTTGGTTATATTTTTGTTGAGTGTGCTGCTTTTGTGTTGGCCTCCAGCCAGGAGGTGGCGCTTTCAAAGACACATCAGTTGGAGTCCTATAGGGAGGATGCAAACTTGCCTCCATTGCCTAGTTAAGTATTCAGGTTTCTCAGTCAGTGGGCAGGGCCATAGAGCTCCCAGGAGAGTATGACCTTTGTCTTTGGCTACCAGGGCAGGTAGAGATGCAGAGAAGCATGTCTGAGCTCAGCCTCTCCTTGGACAGGGTTTGCTGCAGCTGCTTTGGGGGATGGGGATGTGGTTCCAAGTCCAGTGGACTTATATTCCCAGGGGAATTATGGCTGTGTCTGCTGACTTATACAGGTTGCCAGGAGATGGGGGGAAAGCTGGCAGTCACAGGTCTCATCCCTCTTCCATGCAGCCTACAATCCCAGAGACTGGTCTCACTCCCACTGTGCCCCCCTAACAGCACCGAGTCTATTTCTGGACAGCCGGTGACCATGAGTTTCTCCACTGAGAAAGCAAGCAGACTCACTGGTTTTTTGCATCTTAGGGAGACTGCAGCAGTGATCCAGTTCCTTCAAAGTTTCTGTGGATTCTCTCAGCTTTCCTGGTTTGTCCCTGTGGTAGTTCTTGGAGCAAAAGTTCATGATGTGAGTCTCTACATGCTGCTCTGTGCATCTGAGCGGGAACTGCAAGCTAGTCCTACCTCCTATTCACCATCTTAATCCTAGTATTTATATTTTTGTACAATACGTAGTTCTTTGGGCACTCAAAAAATATTTTTGGCTGGGCATGGTGGCTCACACCTGTAATCTCAGCTCTTTGGGAGGCCACGGCAGGCGAATCACCTGAGGTCGGGAGTTTGAGACCAGACTGGGTGAAACCCAGTCTCTAACATGGTGAAAACCCTGTCTCTACTAAAAATATAAAATTAGCTGGGCATGGTGGTATGCACCTGTAATCCCAGCTACTCTGGAGGCTGAAGTAGGAGAATCACTTGAACCCAGGAGGCAGAGGTTGCAATGAGCTGAGATGGCACCATTGCACTCCAGCCTAGGCAACAGAGTGAGACTCTGTCTCCCTGCCCCCACCAAAAATAAATTTTAAAAACCCTATATTTTAAAATTAAACAATGTGGATTGAGTCATATATGTACCAGCTAGACATGCTCCTAACTCAAAGATTCCAAGTCTCTGCTTCTGTCCTCCAGCCAGTGGGGAGCTATGGATGGTTTTTGAGGGCATTATTGACCTGGTCACAGTCACAGGAATTCTTAAATAAATAGCTCTTTATTTTGTTGTTTCATTTTCCTCACCTACTCTTTCCAGTGTTTACATGCTTTCTTCATTTTTGTTGCTGGCAATTGGCAGTTTTTCTTTAATTTTTTTTTCTTCACCAAGCCTCTAAGTTTATTTCTCTCTTAAGGTCTTTATTATTTTCCTCTTTTCAGACAAAAATTAGTTGCTGAAGCCATTTCTTCTCTGGTGCTTGATGAGTCTCCAGAGACGTTGCATACAGCCAAAGAGCTTTGTATATGACTCCCCTAAGACAGTAAGAGGTGGTGGGAAACAAGCCACAGGGATCAGGAGACAAGGCTTCTGGCCCTATCTCAGCACTGGCCTGGGGGCTCTCCCTCCCCATGCCTCAGATTCCATGCTAACAACAGGGAGAGGTCAGTGCAGAGATCCCTGGAGACCCCATCCTGTCATGACCATCTACAATCCCAAGGCAATGAGTGAACACTGAAGTTCAAAAACATTGGCCGTCGAGAAAGCAGAGAGCCCTGCAGAACAGCTTGAGTCTCTCATATCAAGAGCTCAAAACTTCCAGCCCCCTGCTGCCCACACAGAGAGCTTCTCAGTCACTGGGCAATGACTGGGCAGTGGTTTGTTCTATGGCAGACACCACGAGGGAACTAACACTGCTGCACTCACCCCAGCATGCAGCCACATCAGCATCACAGAGATCAAATGCCTCCTTTCCTTGATGGGAAAAAGGTTCTTACAGAGATGAAGGTCATGTGCCTTGCCCAATGTCATGTGGCTGGGTTGGGGGTGGGATGACAGTGATACAAACAGGAGACAGGGAAATACTGTGTAGAAGAGGGCATTTCCCCAACAAAGGCCCTGCTCTCAAGCCTGAAGACCTGCTGCCCTAAATGAGGACAGGCATTTTCTGTTTTTGTGCCCAGAAAGTTGCTTTTGGCCTGCCATTCTCCCCATGTTGCCCCCATATGAACCTGAGACCTTAGTGAGCACACACACAAATGACTGAACATTGAGACCAGCAAATCAGCAGACGAGCGGACCAGCAGACCAGCAATGGTGGAAAGATGCAGCAGGGAAAGAAAGAAGAGGAGGGATGACTGGACACCAAGGGGAGTTTGGCTGGGGGCAGTCAGAGAACAGTCTGGCTGCTGGGTGACCCGACTCCAGGAGAAGACGAACTTCCCACTCCATCCCCACTTCCAGCTCCCCATCCATCTCGCTGAGAGCCACCTCCACCACTCAATAAAACTTTGCACTCATCCCTCAAGCTCATGTATGATCCAATTCTTTTAGGACACTGGGCAAGAGTTTGGGATATGGAAGGTTGTCACACTGGCTCTCTGCCCTTGGGATAAGGCAGAGGGTTCATTGAGCTGATTAACACACAAGCTGTCTGCAGATGGCAAATCTGAAAGAGCTTGTAGCACACACCCACTTGGACTTCAGGAGTCGCAGGCACCGACCTCTTGACGTTGCGGTGGGGCAGGAGCCCAAAAGTGCTCACCTCAGCCTCTGCACCTGCCTGTCAGCATGCTTCTCCTAGGGGTTTGAGCTGCAGGGCAAACAAGCAGGCAAGCCACACCCCTGTTGCACATCCTGCGAGGGAAATCAGGGAACTCTCCCTTTTCATCAGTTCATTCAATAACAAGCTCTAAGAAATACCACTCCAGTTCTCACCATCTCCCTACTTCTACCTCTCCAGGGAGAGTGGTCTCCACTGAATTGGCATTGGGGTTAAACAGATCTGAGTTTGTCACTGACTAGCTTTGTGATCTGATTTTTAAAAGGCTCATATCTTCACATGGGTTGTTCTCAATTTCAGATGTTCTACTCCTTCTTTTTTGCCTACATCCATTTTATTCTTGTTCTTTAAAATCTCTATCAGCGGACTTCTCCCTGAAGCCCTCCTGCCTCCTCCAGTCAGGTTCACTCACCCCTCCTACCCTCTTGGTATGCCCTGGATTTAATTTGTCTCTCCCACTGGATGATGATGCTTTTTCCTTCAGTCTCTCCCATGCGAGATTGTGAGCTCCAGGTAGAAGAGGGCCACACCTATGTATCTCCCAGAAATGGGCACAGAGTACTGTAAAATGTGAGACTTTCACAGCTCAATGCAAAGGGCTGTGAGAGAATAGGGACTAGAATGTAACCATCTCAGGCTCCCTGTAGCTATAAATTCCTTGTGGATGGCAGGTGCTCAGCACAGTGCTCTGTACAGGTTGTTGCTCTCAAAATATAAAACAAAAAGCTTCAGAGATAAGTTGTTTCTATTAGTCACTTACACCATAGTATGAAGTTGACGGTGCATTGCCTGCCTCTTAGGGATGCTGACTTTTAAGTTTCTCTCCTTGAATAATTAAAAACTCAGGATCATACATCAAGAAGCAGCAGAGAAGAGAATGGAGGGGAAAAGAGAGGAGAGAATAAAGCTAAAGGGATGTCAGCTTCTCTGAAAAGACAATTAGCCCTCGTGCCCATGCCTCAGGCTGGCTTCTCTTAGTAACTCAGAAATTTTATTTCCATGAATTCTACCCCTCTTGTGACCCTCCAGGAGAATAAGATCTCAGCAAGTCCCTCTTCTGAGCTGATATCTCCATCCTGGACCTGCCAGAGGCAGTTTGTTTCCTTGTTTACGTGCTGAGAGACACAGCCTCTATTTGGCAGGAAGTGTGAACAAACAGACCTGAGGCGATTTCTTTTCATCACCACCTACCTCCTAGAACAACTGTCACTTCCTCCTTCCTTCCTTCCTTCTCTCTCAGAGAGCTTTAATGCCGAGAATACCAAATGGAGATCACAGTTCTGGGTGTGAGTCATGATTTCACTACCGGCTAGCACTGTGACATTCTGCCTTGGTTTCTTCATCTGTGAAATGGGACAAAGTCCTTGTCATCTCTTCCACTATGCAGTCAGTTCATGTAAATGCATCAATGTCATGAATTCAGCAAAATGCATCACGTCTTTTTTGATGGTAGGTGCAGCAGCTGCAGAAATGCCTAAGACAAAGTTTGTGGGAAGGATTAAATGGGGCAGTGTGGAATAACAACCAAGGTGTCAAGTTATTTTCCAGAGGATGCTTTGTCCATGTTCATGACCTATGCTTTCCTGATCCGTGGGGTCAGGTTCACTTCCTGGAGAGCACTGTGGTGCAGGGACGGTTGTGGCATGCGTGCCTCTTTGTCCACCAACCCATGGCAGAAATCACTGATCAACCCAATATCATCTCAGGATTCTCCTCAACACAGGTATCTGGGAGTCACTGACCATCAGCCAGTAGCCAAAACCTACATGCTATTACAGGAAAAAGCAGCACGGCTTTGGAGTAAAACTAATGTGATTTGAATCTGGTTCCTCTGAAGCATTGAGCAAGTTTGACAATCTCCTTAAATGAAAATACTCATCCATATCTGTATAAAGAATATATTTCTGCCTAACTCCCAGGTTTCCTGTGATAATTAAACAAGACTAAATATCATGGAAGTACATATACATAGTAGTACTCCCTTCCTTCCTTCCTTCCTTCCTTCCTTCCTTCCTTCCTTCCTTCCTTCCTTCCTTCCTTCCTTCCTTCTCCTTCCTTCCTTCCTTCCTTCCTTCCTTCCTTCCTTCCTTCCTTCCTTCCTTCCTTCCTTCCTTCCTTCCTTTCTTTCTTTCTTTCTTTCTTTCTTTCTTTCTTTCTTTCTTTCTTTCTTTCTTTCTTTCTTCCTTCCTTCCTTCCCTCCTTTCCCTCCCTCCCTCCCTCCCTCCCTCCCTCCTCCTCCTCCTCCTCCTCCTCCTCCTCCTCCTCCTCCTCCTTCTTCTTCTTCTTCTTCTTCTTCTTCTTCTTCTTCTTCTTCTTCTTCTTCTTTCTTTCTTTCTTTCTTTCTTTCTTTCTTTGCACTATGGAGTCTTGCTCTGTTGCCCAGGCTGGAGTACAATGGCATGACCTTGGCTCACTGCAACCTCTGCCTCACAGTTTCAAGCAATTCTCCTGCCTCAGTCTCCCGAGTAGCTGGGATTACAGGCATGCACCACCACCCCTGGCTAATTTTTGTGTTTTTAGTAGGGACGGGGTTTCACCATGTGGCCAGGCTGGTCTCAAACTCCTGACCTTATGATCTGCCCACCTTGGCCTCCCAAAGTGCTGGGTTACAGGCGTGAGCCACCGCACCTGGCTGGTAGTACTCTTTTTCTACCCTGACCTTCCAATTCTAAACAGGTCTTTCCTCTGATTCTCAGTTTTTACCATCTGTAAAATATTATTAATAGAGCTGTTCTCGCAAGGTTGTTTTGGAGTTTCAAAGTGCTGCCCCTTGCTTTTGACAACTCTCGGTCATATTGAGGTAAGAAGTTAAAAGTCTTGGCTCGGTGTCGTGGCTCACATCTATAATCCCAGCATTTTGGGAGGTGGGCAGATCACTTGACGTCGGGAGTTTGAAGTATTTTGTACTCAAAATACAAAAATTAGCTGGGCATGGTGGCCTTCACCTGCAATTCCTGGTACTTGGGAGGCTGAGGCAGGAGATTTGCTTGAACCTGGGAGGCAGAGGTTACAGAGAGCTGAGATCACACCATTGCACTCCAACCTGGGTGACAGAGTGAGACTGTGTATCAAAAAATGAATAAACGAATACAAGTCCTGACTCTCACCCTCATCACTGTCTTCTGTGCACAACTAAACCAATGTGTCCCTAGCCGAAGTTCTATCTTGCCTCAGTTTCCCTTCTATCCTCTCCCTAGTTTTGAGAATCAGTCAGCATAAGTTGGGGAAGGGCCATTATTTCCAAGCAAATAAAAGAGTTAGATCTTGGTCCAGCATGTGTGTGTGTGTGTGTGTGTGTGTGTGTGTTGCGGTAGGGGAGGGTGGAGAGGGGAAAGGTGAGTTAATTCATTCAGTAGCAGCCCTGACTACCTCCTCCTCCCAGTTTGCTTCATCCTGGGGGGTTGGGAAGTGGAGGCCAAAACCTGGATGTTCCTTAGAACTCTTAGGGGTTTGATTTTCCCTCAGCCCCTTCAGGACCTTTAGTACCCCACTATGCACGCTCTTCAGAAGAAAGACAGCTGGTGTGTCTCAAAGATTTCCCCAGCTATTTCCTCTTGCCCAGTGGATTCCACCAGGGCCTGATCAGGGCTCCTAGGACACAAAATTTAAGGGGGACCTCACTTCCAGCATCCTGCAAGTGCCCATCCTGCAACTGAGAGTGAAGGCCTCCTTAAATGTGGTACTCAGTTCCTTGCCTGCCTCATCCAGCCGGGTCCTGAAAGTATAGAAACAATTGAATAAAAGCCTGAAATGTTAGATGGGAATGTTTGAAGGACTGGACTTTAGAGTCGGGCCCTCCAGGTTCAAATTCCAACACTACTACCACTTGAGTTGTGGCACTTCCTGTAATTTAACTATATATATTTTTTCATCTGTAAATTGGAGATAATAATAGTACTTACCTTCGTACTCATGCTGTGAGGATTCCATTAGGGACTGCATTAGCGTAACCAAGGAAGCATTAGTAAGAATAAAAGAACAATTTTTATTAGACTGTATAATACTGAAAATAATAGGGATCCTGGGGAAGTTAAAGAGAACATATACCTACCAGGTGGCTGGTCCTATGCTAGGTGCCTTATATATGTTTTTTCATATTAAGCCTCAAAAATCTTCTCTATATCATGATGTTAAGAAATTAAGGCCACAAAGGATAAGGAACTTGGCCCAAGATGTTCAATTGACATGAAGAGGTTGGAGTCATTGAGCTCACGTCCCTGAAATTCCAAATTCTCTGCTGTTTCCTTTTGCCCTAAAGCCATCTTAGCGTGGAAATCCACGCACTGGGTACATGGTTCCTCAGCCGGCTCTTCATTAGGATCTTCTGTGTGGCTTTATAAACACACACTTGCCAGAGTTCCAGGCTTGGCTTAGAATCAACTACAAATCTGTGTTTTGAACAGGAAGCCCTGGGATGGGCATGAACTGTCAGGCTCGGCACCATTGCAGGCTGGGTGACCTCTAAACTCTCTCTCCCTCCAATTTTCTATGTTCAGCCTCTTGAGAAAATGAGAGTGAAAGTGATGATTAAACTGTAAGAATAAAGCGTCTTCCTAAGGAAAGGCTGGCACCTTCTAAGGACATATAATTAAAGCCCAATAGATTAAAATTCCTTTAAGAAATGAGTAATACAAAGATTAAGGCACATCTGATATAGCTTCTTGAATGGCTGCTCAAAGATTTACAGGCAAAGGATAAATCAGCTCTTCTGAGAGAGAAGATACATCTTATTGCTCACATCTGGCAGTGGAAGGTAAAGTGTGCAGAAAAGGAGACGTGCCTGGCAATCTTCAAGCAAGGCGCCAGAAGTGCTTTTGCAAATATATTCTGGATGAAGAAAAAGAAAATCCCCTTCAAGTGAATGGTTTGGTTGTCAGTCATGAGTCAAGTGACTTGGCATGTCAAATTTCTTTCTTGGGCAGGTTTTTTATCACACACAGAAGATGAGCAAAGGAACTTAGAGTAATTAGGAGGTAATGAAGTTGTCAGAATAAGCTATTGACCAAAGAGCAGACAAGGGAATAGATGAAAAATTTAAACGTTTCTAATTTAGCTGATCTGGAAGCTGCACATCTTTTGGCCGTAGGGGAATTATCCTCGGTGCCTAATGAATGAGTTTTTCTGGGCAAAGCAGGGAGCATCCCAGAAGACAAAGGAAGAAGGAATTGGAATCAAAGTCCAAAATGGTAATGGTGATTGTAATATAAATTATAATTAGCCCCTTACGTTTTTATCTGTCTTTGCAAAGCACTTGAACATCTATTACCTCATTCAATTTGCACAGAAACCTAAGAGGGAAGAGACATCCAAGGATGTAAGTATGGAAACTTGAGGTCAGAAAGTGTGATCACTTGCTTAAGGGCCGCACATTACCCTTAACTAGTGCAGGATTGAGACTTGAATTCTGGTCCTTCCAGCCCACAGCAAAGCCCTCTTCATTATACATTGACATGGGGGAGCATTGAGGGTAATTAAAGAAATTGACAGACTGGTTAAATTAGATCCATGCAATGAAAACTGCCAGACCCTGTGTCCTTTCTTCTTGCATCCTTTCCTTCCTGCTTCCCTGGTCCCTTCTGCCCTGTCTTCATTATTCATTATTCATTATTTTAATCTGATGAGGTGGGTTCCCTGAAAAGAATCTGGGCTTCCTCTGTTTATTCCGGCTGGTGCTGCTAGTGGGGAAAAAGACCAAGGGATAATTATTTACTTAGCACAGTTTCTGTGTTTTTTCCCATGATATGGTTAGGCTTTGTGTTCCCAGTCAAATCTCATCTTGAATTGTAATCCCCATAGTCCCCATGTGTCAAGACCAGGTAGAGATAATTGAATCATGGGGGCAGTTTCCCCCATGCTGTTCCCCGTGATAGTGAGTTCTCACAAGATCTGGTGGTTTTATAAGGGGCTCTTCCCCCTTCACTCGGCACTCTTCCTTCCTGCCACCTTGTGAAGAAGGTGCCTTACTTCCCCTTCACCTTCTGCCATAATTGCAAGCTTCCTGAGGCCTCCCCAGACGTGCTGAACTGTAAGTCAATTAAACCTCTTTCCTTTATAAATTACCTAATCTTGGGCAGTTCTTTCTAGCACTATGAAAATGGAGTAATGCAACCCACAAGGTCTGTCTTATTCAGTGCTCGAAATCACTCTGCAAGGTAGGTGTAATTACCCGCTCTGTGGCGCATGCAAAAACTAGGACCCAGAAAGACTAGACAACTCACCCTAAAACTCTACTAAATAAGTTGTGCAGCTCCACCCAGTGTCTCCGTCATCAGTATTTATATTCTTGTTACTATTATTTCCACCTGCCAGGTCATGTTAGCTGGAGAATAACAGGCCACAGAGATGACAATTTAGCCATGAAGCTAAAGGCTGAGAGTGAATATGGCTCAACCTGCAAGTCTGCAAAGATCCTTCCAGTCATTGGTACATTGTCTGCCCAGGCTCAGCCTGCCCCATAAATGTGCCTCTCCAGAAATCTATGCCCAACTCTGATCTGCTTGACCCACAGGCCTCCCCATTGATCTCTTCCATGTCGTGGCTACAACTGCCCCCTTCTTATCGATAACTTCTCAACATGTGTCTTTCACCAGACTTCTTTCCTGACCTAGAAATTTCCATATGCAACTGTCTGAGCAGCCCACCTGTCTGCTTCACATCCATGTCCTACTCAGCATATGTGAGGCAACAAGATTACACCCCCTCTTTAGAGCTAAGTCGAGTCCTAAGTCTTGAAATCCTCCCTCTCCTTTGCACTCCACACTGAATTACTCATCAAGGTTGGGGTAATTCTATTTCCCAAAGTTCTCTTGAATCCATGCTTCTCCTTCTGGTCCTAATGCCAGCCTCATGTCAGCCCCCCATCCTCTCCCACCTATACAGTTACAATAGATTGATAGGTGGTCTTTTAACATCTACTCTTTCTCATCTCCAACCAACATTCCACTGTAATGCTGGAATGACCTTTCTAAGAGGAATGAATATCTGGCTGTACCATGCCCCTTCTTGTGGTTCTCTTCAACTTCACATTAAAGTCCAAACTATGCAGCATGTGATTAAAGGATGTTTGTCACTTGTTTCTGATTTCCTTCCCTTTCTCACCTTCTACGTTTGCTATCTTCGAACTTCAGGCTCCAGAAAGCCCGAACTGTCTGCACCACCCAAGAATTCTAGCCTCTCTCATCTCTTGATGCCTGTGTGTGCTATTTCTTCTGCCTATAGCACCCATCTATTTCTTGTCCTTCAGAAAAATTTCTGTTTATTCATCAAGTCTCGTCTCAAGTTCTAGCTCTTCTGTGAAACATTTTCTTACTCATCCGGGAAAACTTAAGAACCTTGTTACACACCTATGTCCTGGCTGTTGACATGCCGGGTAGCAACATTTGTAGGAATGACTGCCTTCTCCATTTGACTGGGAACTCTTCAGGGAAAACACCAAATATCTACTTATTTTGGTATCTCCATAAGGGTCAGGAAAAAAAGTTTCTTAAATAGATTTAAGTAATCATCCAATCTGTAAACCTCTGTCTGACCCAAGCATACTACAAAATATATAGGCATAATAAGTCTTTATTAGGCAATTACTAAAGTGTTTTTCCATTTGTTCAGAGGGAAAAAGCTTTATTTCTGATTTTCCTCTAAATTATTGCCAAATGAAATTCTACTTTTTCCTTCTTTTCTCTGTTCTTAAAATTGCTGCCCTTATAAATAAACTTTGCACAGATATTTTGTGTATGGAAATGAAATTGATAGTATACACACCTATTGGAATGGCTCAAAATGATAATATCAAGGACTAGCAAGGATACAAAGCAACTGAAAATTGTATGCCTTGCTTGTGGGATGCAAAATAATAAGCATTTTGGAAAATAGTGTGGCAATTTTTTATAAATTAAACTTCACTTACAATATGACCCAGCAATCCTACTCCTATTTACCCAAGAAAAAGAAAGACGCGTGTTTACAGAAAAGCTGTACACAAATATTTATGGCAGTTTTATCCATAATTACCAAAAACTAAAAATAAGTCAAATGTACTTCAACTAGTGAATGAGTAAACAAACTATGGTGCATAGTTTGTGCACCATATGCATAAGTTCATAAGCAATGCAGTCATTCTCAGCAATAAAGAGAAACAAACTGCCTAACACATTGTATACACATGCAGCTCAGGGTAGACCATACATGTGGACATACTTCATGAGCGGTGAAGCACGTGAAGGTGATGTCATTATCATTTTCAGTCTGATGAATATTCTAACCTAGACAAATAACTAAAACAGACTTATTTTTCTCCAGTCACTGCCTAGACTTGTGCTTTGCTGAATTTCCCCATCTTGTCCCTTGGTGGCATCCTAGGAAGATTCCATCACTCTCCTGCCACATCAGGAGTGAAGTCCAGGCTGGCTAGTCCAATTGAAGCTGACAGTCTCCTTCCAAATGCTACCCTTGCTTCTTCCCTGACCTGCAGCTCCAAGCTTATGTGTACCTTGAGGCCTTGATGTGGGGAGGCTGGAAGGTGTACGCTTTTATTCCTCTTCTCTTTTCTCTTCTTTGTCCCCTCATAGAAAAGGGATGGAGGAGAGGAAAACACCTGTGTAATGGGCCAATTTTTGGTGCACTCCTTGAAGCCCTAACCCCCACGGAGAAGGTTTGTGGGGGTGGAGCCTTCAGAGGATGATAGGATTAGCGTTCTTATAAAAAAGGAAGAGAGACCAAAGTGCTCTCTCTGTCTCTATCTCTGTCTGGTCTCTCTCTCCCCCCACACACATACACATGCTAAGAAAAAGCTATGTGAGGACACAATAAGAAAACAGCCGTCTACAATCCAGGAAGAGAGCCTGCACTTGGAACTGAATGCCGCTGAACTCTGGTCTTGGGCATTCCAGCCTTCAGAGCTGTGAGAAAAGAAGTGTCTGCTGTTGAAACCACCTAGTCTG